CACCTCGATGTCCTTCTTGTAGTGAGGGGCCCAAAACTGAACACAGTATTTGAGGTGCGGCCTCACCAGTGCCGAGTAGAGGGGCACGATCACTTCCCTACTCCTGCTGGCCACACTATTTCTGATGCAGGCCAGGATGCCATTGGCCTTCTTGGCCGCCTGGGCACACTGCTGGCTCATGTTCAGCCAGCTGTCGACCAACACCCCCAGGTCCTTTTCCGACAGGCAGCTTTCCAGCCACTCTTCCCCACGCCTGTAGCGCTGCATGGGGTTGTTGTGGCCCAAGTGCAGGACCCGGCACTTGGCCTTGTTGAACCTCATACAGTTGGCCTTGGCCCATCGATCCAGCCTGTCCAGGTCCCTCTGCAGAGCCTTCCTACCCTCGAGCAGATCAACACTCCCGCCCAACTTGGTGTCGTCTGCAAACTTACTGAGGGTGCACTTGATCCCCTCATCCAGATCACTGATAAAGATATTGAACAAGACCGGCCCCAAAACTGAGCCTAAATCCTCCTCGCTAAACAAACATGTTAATTTCATTAAAATGTTAATCTAAACCCAAATCTGAATCTAAACTAAATTGATGAAGGTCCCTTAATGTTATACAGACTGTAAATTTTATACTTTACCTCCACGTCTGACAGTAGTGGCTGGTTTGTTCTGGATGGCTGCTTGGTCCTTGGTGCCTTCGGTGGCCTCTTAACTGGCTGGTTACTCTGTTTTGGAATAATTTTACCAGCTGATACAACCGAGTAAAATCTTGATGATACATTCCTAAGCTTTTTAATACACTGTGTATTGAGCTTGTAGTTTTCCGTCATCGCCACACCAAAATGTTTCCAGGATGGAAAAAAAACCTCCCCACTCTGATAATAAACATTTTTTCCCAAAGCCGATACATTTCCTTGGAGCAACTGCCAATTCTTGCCTTGCACACATCGACTTGTCAAACAAGGGGAAGCAGTTCTCAGAGCGTACAAATTCCAAGACTTTTCTGTTCTGTGAGCTGTTCTGTCAACTTCATTATCCAGCTTTAATAGCGGACGTCCAGTTTTACTAAAGCTCTGGCATTGGCATATTGTTGTTAAAGCGTGGAAAGGTCTAGTCTGAAGGTGCAGAAGTTTCAGTCTCATTGCTTCCCTCAGAACTGTATTTAAAACAAACAAACAAAATCATCCATCAACTCTTTGGAAAGAAGTAATACTATTTTCTCCTTATCTAAAAGACGACCCATACTCCTTCTGCATGTGTTAGTACTCCTAAGCACATAAACATTAGTGCGATTCAACAGCTTTTTCTCAATGCTATGGAAATACTCTAATTAAGATCGAAACACATTATCGAGCTGTGTGCTTGCAACACATGGTGAAAAAGTAGAATGGGTTGCTATGTCAATATGTAAGCAGACATCTTTTCCTTCTGTTGCTCATTCTGTATAGCAGTCTGCACTCTCAGTAATCCCACTGACGAAATTACTCATGAGCAAGCACACACCTTAAAGAGGACATCAGACTCTGTGAATCATTGTTTTATACATAATTAAAACAATAATTAGATTACTACGTGCTTGCATGGGAATGTCACCTACAGAATACACACATCAGCTCAAACTGCTGTATCGCAAACAGCCAAGCACGGATCCAGCTCCGTTCGTCTGTCTTGACTAGAGCGAGAGCCGAGTCAATCAGGTTACGGTCTTGATCCTGCTAGCACGTACTGGTGCAACAGGGACCGCAAGGCCTGCTTGCAGATCTACCTGTGCTGACGGAAATACGACAGTGTCCTTATTCTGTTACTCCAGACCAAGAGCAAGCTTATTACATTTACGCTACGTTGTATGAGCTAATCAAATAAACTTTGAAAGTATTCACAGACAGTAGACTGAATACCTCAGTGGGTGTGTTTCACTTGCTGAAAAATCGCAGTGTCAAGTCCCCGCCCCCATCTGCTTTTATTAACCAAGAACACTCCCCTCGTGACACAAAATTCATCTTCAGCAAGTTATTAACAAAAAAAAAGTCATTAAGTTGTACAGTTTGAAAAAACTGCCAATTTCAGAATACTTTTCAAAAACAGTGTAAAGAAGGATCTTCAATACCACCCATACATTTAACGTAATGGTTCAAATAAGCATTTTCTTGTGAGAACAAATCGTTGTGTGCTGACTGGAACAAGCCCTCCATCCTGACAAGGATACCTAGATGCTAGCACAATACACACACAACTTGGAAAAAAAAAAACAAAACCAAACATCACCCTGACACAACTTAATGGAAGGGGGTTACACTAATTCTGGTGAGAGGCATACAATTCTACAGAAAAAAAAAAAAAAAAAAAGGAAATAAAAAAAAAAAAAAGGACATAAAACACCTTTAGGCTACCACAGAATAAGTAATTGATATTGGGCATGATTTTATACGCTCTTCACTTGTAGCTTTTTGCCCAATTTGTAAGCCTGTTATTTGCATACTTATTAGAATAAACTAATTATTGTTTTCATTTTAAACTTGTCCTGTATTTAAAAAGCGACCCAGAGACCCAGAAGACTCTGCCCAGGACAAGGCACATTTACCTTTTTAAAGGCCTGTTACCTCTGGATAACCAAGAGAGCTGAAAAACTCAGCAACTGCGACCCAAGGCTGTCGAGAGCCAGGACAAGGGGAGAAGCCTCCGGTAGCGCGGGGTAACTAGCGGAAGGAGACTCACAAATGCCAGGTACGCCGTACTTTCCTAAGCCAACAAAACCTTGTGTCGAATCACAGTGACCCCAGGGGTGATTTTGCAACTGCACAGGCTTACAGCAAGTTACAGGGAAGCAGTGGCCACACAGACTGAATTCCACCGAGGAGCCTTAACGCCAGGTTTGGAGCAGCAGAGGCACCTAGCCAGGAAGCGCAGAATAGAGCAGTCTAAGAAATAAGCGGGCTAAAGAGCTACCACAACCAGACAGCAGGTGCCATCTCCGAACAGCGGAAACAAATCTGCACGGTATTTTCCAACGCCTCTTTGAGACAAGACACGCTTTATTCACGCCCGTTGCCTTTCCAGCCGGCAGACCAAGCTTACTGCGGCAGAGCCAGCAAGATGTACGAATAAACCGGGCCCGCTCTGCCGGCGGGCGGCCCCGCCCGGCCCCCCCCCCCCGGGGGGGCCCCCCCCCCAGGGGAGTGTTTCCCCATAGTTTTCCTCAATTAGGGCCCCCCCCT